GAATCTATCATTATCCCATTTGGGAAATGAGGAGTACTCTGTGAAGAAAGAGGAGTACAGAATCCCTTTGGTGGACAATTTTGGAAATTCAATTATGGCTCCAAGTTAATTATAGTAGTAATTCTTGTGATGGGATTGACTTATCTTGAACCATTCAGTCGAGTTATGCATGTTCTTTTTTATGTCCCAATTGAATAACGGATTTTTTTATTTAATTATTTATTACTGAATCATTATAGAATTAGAAGGGAGAAACAAATTTCTTAAGGCCATCTCCAATGTGTACACCAAAACACCATTTTACACCAATGTTTGGTGCAAAGTCACTCCAATGTGCACCAAGCTTTGCACTGTTTTGCACCAAAATGGTTTGAGTATAATTTCGCCGTTCATTTTATAAAAAAAATTGGTTAAGCGTATTTGTGTCCATTTTTGTTATAGATTTTTTAATACAATAAATTATTATTATTATTATTATTATTGTTGTTGTTGTTGTTGTTGTTGTTGTTGTTGTAATAAATTTTAAAATTGTAATCAATAATAGTTAAGGAATTATTTAAAATAATAATTAAAAAAATTGGAAGATTAATAGCACGATTATTTGAAGTTAATACAAAATCAATGATAAATAGGCTCACATCGCACTTCGAAATTCGTTAATTTGGGATATTAACAAATACAATTATTTGAAGTTAACATGAAACACATTAATTCGGGAGATTAACAAACACGATTATTTGAAGTTAACACGAAATCAAGGATAAATAGATTCACATTGCACTTCAAAACGCATTAATTAATCATTTGTGGGATGAATATATGAATTTCGAGAATTAAATTGTAATATTATTTCGACTTCGTAATATCATGATACCGGGGATTCGAAACGTACACATTGCACTATTTTTTTAATAACACGGTTTAATATTTCCTTATTTGTGGTGTGTTTTCATTAATTTTACTATATTTTTTAAATTTTTAATGAATTTAATATTTTGGCTAATATAATGCAATTATTTATTTAGTAATTTATGTAATTGTAAAATAAATAAATATATAATTTTTTCAAATAAATAAATTGTTATGAATTAAAAAAATAAAATAAAAATGATTTAAGCACTATTTATTTGGTGTAAGTTTTGATAAAATGAATTAGAGATGATTTTTAATTTAGTGCAAAACGATACAAATCTTACCCCCAAATTAGGTTGAAGATGGTCTAACAAACCAATGAACCATATTACACTGAGAAATGCTATTCATCCCCACTGAGGATGCATTCCCAGTCTATATAGCGTTAATGTGACATTAAATGATATGTGAAATTAAATAAGTCATTTAATTTCACTTATCATTTAACCAATCATTTACATTCACATAGATTGGGGATGCATCCCCACTGGGGGATGAATATCATTTTTCAAAAAATAAAATATATTTTCAACTATATTAATAGCATCTTCTTAATCTGTGTGAAAATGAAAACAAACATATTTTTGTGGGACGAATGGAATATATTAATAGAAATTGAGAATTATTCATTAAATACATTTTTAACATATTGGCACATGACTTCTTTCTAGTGAATGGGAAGAATTTAAAGTATAATGAACGAATATATAAAATGTGTCGACATTTTTTATTGGTAATTTTTGACATAATCAACACGTGGCGGCCCCGTATTGGGGGGGGCTCCTGGGCCCACAGGCGCCCCCCAATAGGGGGCCGCCACGTGTTGATTATGTAAAAGATTAGGTAAAACATTTGGTATGTGTAGCATTGCCCTTTTTTATTTACAAAGAAGAAATGATGTGTACAAGAATAAAGCGAAGGGAGATAATAATTTTGTGACAGCTAACTTGAACTCATACCAATATTATTTTTAGTTGGAATTACATGTTATATTTATTTTGATGCTAAACTTACTTATATTCTTGTGAGAAAGTCGTCTATAATTTGCAGCGCAAACCTCGTGGACTTAGCCCACTGGCACCATGTGACTTCAATATATTTTCATGTAGAAATTGAAATTTTATTTTTCATAAATAATGATATCTTCATTTATTCAGGGTCCAACATGAATTTTCACCTAAATCTGTAGTCAAAATGGCTCTGGTTAAATCTCATAAGCAGTCCATGAACTTTCAGTAAATTTCAATTGGGTCACACTAAACTTAAATTTAATTTTAAATTTCAGCATTGCATGCGTTACATGTCGTCTTTCAAATTGATAAAAATTGCTTATTTTGCATAACATAACAACTATTCTTCCATGTAAACGTTGTGTGGTGTATACAACTTAACTCTACACCATGTTGTAAAAGTTTTTTTTTTTTTTTTTAAATCTCGTTTTTTTTTCCATTTAAAGTAATTGCCAAAACTCGCATTTTACCATTTTCATATATATGGTGCCATATAGCGATTTCACAAAGTGTAGTTGTTAGTTAAGTAATTTTCATCAATTTGAAGAACAATAGGTGATAGAATATGAGAGTGGCGAATTTTGGAATTAAATTAAAGTTTAGTGGCTCATTGGATTTCGTGCAAATAAATTTATTCAGATGGCTTTTCATTAAAGAAATAAAAAGTTAAAATCGTAAGCAGAAAAGAGTAACGAAGAAGGAATGAAAATCGTAAAATAAATGATTGGCCGGGCCTTAGACGTGAGTTTCACGAACAATTACTAGAATAAAATAATAATACATAAATTAAAGTTAATAAAATCAATAGGAAAATTTTCACCAGTGGTCCGCAGCCTTTTGCAAGTGTGGCACTCATACTCCAACCCACCATTCCCTACGCTCATATCCCCACCTTTCATAAATGTGTCGCTCATGTCTTGGATTAATCAAAAACGTTTATTTGAGCACATAACGACCAACTTATACTCATTTGATGTCTGAGCTGAAGCAAGGGGATCAACTTCATGAATATTCTCATATATGAAAATTGAAGTCACCAATGGATTATCTAGTAATAATAATAATAAAGAAACAGTTTACTTGCTAGTTTACAAATTGATTGCTCACATCGCTTTCCTCATCTAGCTAGGAAACTAACCTTGTATAGGGCGATTCTTTGCATCAAGAAAGAAACAAAGAAAAATGTTTACCTTTGCTTAACACATGCAATTCAAAGTACTTTCTAAAGATTTTAAGTTCCTAAAAAGACTCTACTCTATAAAGGTTAAGCAAGAATGGGAATTCCTCTTAGTAAGTCATCTTGCCTTACAAATGTATAGTCTTGTTGCACAGCTATCTGTCTACAGGAGCTATTCACTCTATAGTGTTGCCACACGAGATAAGCACGTTGCTAACTGTTGGCTGAATGAGTTGAACTTCTCTTCAATCAATTGTCCACCTAGTGCAAAAAACATAGTAAAATAATGTGACACACGCAGTTGGTATGCTTCCTGCTCCCAACAAAAGAAGAGTGAGAAGGTTCAATTCATATTTGACCAGATTACCCAAAAAATCCTAGAGAACGATGTAAAAAATTAAAAGATATATATCAAAATTATAGGGGTTGTATTGACGAGATCCCATGGCGAAAGATGCCCAAAAGAAAAATCTCCTGGAAGTCCAAGGATCTTTAGTATTGTACTCTACCCACGATCCAGGAGCCTTTACACCAAGCAAGACCACACTTATCCCTTTCTTTCTCCGTTCCGTTTTCTTCTTCCTGTTGTTCCAATAGAGTTTAAGGCAAAGTCATTTGAATTCCTACTTTACGTACTCGATGAAAGAGAAGGAGCTTTTTTCATTTCCTTGTTTGTGGATTGGATGATTTTTCCCAACACAATGAAGGCAGGGTTTTTCAAAATGATTCTCCAATTCAAAATTTCTCACAAATAGAATAAGATGTTGTTCTCTTTCCTTGATGGAAAAGAGTTGTATATATATATATCATCATCATCAAATGCTAATAAGGATACTTCAATCTGGTCAAGTAAATGAAAAATATTGATTTGAGTGTGAAAAGTCCTCTCTCAAAGACGAGGTTCTATCAAATGGTTGGTTTACATTTAGAAAGAAAATCGATCATCGTAGTCGACAACTGATGCGATGCATCTCCCTTTCACTTCCTCAACTAGAGTCCAGGATCCTAGGAGGCGCAATACTAATAGAATTCTTTCAAATATTATATTATGTGATATCATATGGTCATTTAACGTTCAAATAAACGTGTTCCATTAGCCAGAGATATGGGTGCCACAACTTTACAAAGTTGAGGACATGATTGCAATGAATAGTGGGTTGGGACACGAGTATTACACTTACAACAGGTTGGGGACCTAGGTGAAATTTACACATAAAAAAAATTAATGCATAAATTAAGTCAATATAATCAATAATATGAAGAGGGTGGGGGTAGTGTGGGACCTAGGTTGCTACCTCTGGAGCATTGACTCTTCTCTCTCCAATTCATTGGACCTTTTGTGCTAGCTTACTTATACTCGTTCATTCATCCTCGCCATCACCTCCAAACTGTTCGTTATACAATTATTTTCATATCCCTCCATTTTCTATATCTTGTTCTTCGTCTGTTTTCTGCTTTATAGTATCATAATCTATGCAAATAGCAATTTTATTTGTGTACGTATATATCTTTTGATTGTCATTTTGATATAAAGCTGGATTTATTAGATTTTCGTATTCCGTAGCTACAAATTTATAAAAATCGTCGAAACATGTAACTACACCCATTTTTCTTCTTCATCCTCAAAAAAGAAAAAAAAATTAGTTGAATTTTTCCATATAATTTTGATTCGCAATGCTTTTTGGATTATCGTTATACTGAGTTTTATCGATCTGGGTACGATTCAGAAGCTCGTGTAGCAAAAACCCTAAAAAAAGCCTGCAGATCATGTAATTTCTATCCTTAGTAGAGTTACTAGCTGTCTTAATTATAAAAAAAAAAAAAAACCAAAAAAAAGAAGTTTTTGATTTGATTTTTATACATCGATCGGAATGCCGGAGTTCGAAGTCGAAACACCAACAATGTCGGCGCCAGCGACGCCAGGAACGCCGGCGCCGCTGATGTCTTCTCTGCGCATAGATTCGCTGTCTTATGATCGAAAATCAATGCCGCGATGCAAGTGCCTTCCAGTTGATGCACCCACTTGGGGTACACCACATACCTGCAGCCTCACCAATTTCTCCGTGCCTGACATCTCTCTTACTCGCAAGGTTAGACCACTTTACTTTCTCTCTCTAAATATAACATGAACATATTTGATTATTGATGTTGGAAATTGGAATGGGGTCCTTTCCTCCTCTTTAATTCTCTTTATGGAATACAATATGAATAATGATCAGTCAGTCATTTCTGTGTCACGCATCCTAGAAAAGTACGATTATGACATTGCTTTTAGATTAGGTAATTGAACGATGTGAAATATATGTTAATAAAATTTTATCGATTAAAGAATTTTAATCAATTTAGGAGATGATAGTCCAAAATATTGTTGACATTTGTAACTAATTTGAATTCAATAATGTAATTAAAAAAAATAATAAATTGAAGTTCATTCGCCTAATTGAAAAACAATCACCCAATTAAGATTTTGTTGAAAGTTCAGTGACTGAAAAATGAAATTTCCCTTATTAACCACCTAGTTATAAACTCGTATTAAAACCAGTTCGTGTCCGTTCAAGAGTTGGTCCACCAAAATGAATGGGTCGTGTCGTGTTTGATTGACTAGCTCAATAATCCATGAAAGTCCAATTAGTTTGCTCGATTATACCTGCTGCGAAAAGTGCCAAGAATCCTCCAATAATTTCTGTAAAGAGTATCGATAGAGAATCTGTACCTTTTTGTTGTATGAATTAGGATGTACACTAACACTTAATTCATTCTAATAACAGAGGGAAAAACCACTCAGAAATTCATTAAAATTTGTCAAAAATGAAGGAATTAACAATGTCAATATAATTTGGTGTTAAATGTAGCTGGGAGCAGAGTTTGTTGGGACATTTATCCTGATATTTGCTGCAACGGCCGGACCAATCGTAAACCAAAAGTACAATCAAGCCGAAACACTTATAGGCAATGCAGCATGTGCTGGTCTTGCCGTTATGATAGTGATTTTATCTACAGGTCACATCTCGGGAGCTCATCTTAACCCGTCTCTCACTATTGCCTTTGCTACACTTCGCCACTTCCCATGGGCTCACGTACCGGCCTACATAGCAGCACAGGTTTCGGCCTCCATTTGTGCTTCCTTTGCACTCAAAGGTGTTTTCCATCCTTTCATGTCCGGTGGTGTTACCGTCCCTTCTGTCAGCACTGGCCAGGCTTTCGCCCTTGAATTTCTTATAACCTTCAATCTGCTATTCGTGGTTACTGCTGTTGCTACTGATACCCGCGCTGTGAGTTATCACATTATTTTCTTTTTCCTTTTCTTCAAATATTACAAAGTAATTAATCCTTGTTTACAGGTTGGAGAATTAGCAGGCATAGCAGTTGGAGCCACCGTTATGCTTAATATTCTTGTTGCGGGGTGAGTAAACGATCCTTTTTGCTTCATCTTCTTCGTGAAAATAATGTTAAATGAAAAAGGTGAAGGAAAAAGGGCACTAACTAATTGTTTTGACTCTCTTTGGATTGGCAGACCATCGAGTGGTGGCTCAATGAATCCTGTCCGAACTCTTGGACCAGCAGTTGCTGCAGGAAATTACAAGGCGGTATGGGTATACCTTGTGGCACCTACACTTGGAGCTGTTGCAGGGGCAGGTATTTATACTCTCGTTAAGCTTAACGGAGAAGAGGAAGAAGCCCCACGCCAGGTGAGGAGTTTCCGTCGCTAGACAACCTTGTCAAGGACAGCTGAACTATGAAATTTGTGTGAATAAAGGCAAAGGACGAAGACTTTGCCGGTTTGAATAAATTATGTATGGTGATGTACTCAATTGTATTGTAGTATCCAAGCTCTGATGGATGCAAACATTTGTATAATTATTCTGTACTTTGATGTATTTGGACTCTGACAAGGAGACAGTTTCATGATTGTGTAATAATATGTATGATCTGGTAAACTATTGGCCTATAAGAAATCTGTGCATTTATACATGAACTTAACTGTCACCCCAGCAACTCAGCGAGGTTAAAACCTCAAACTGATCACCTAAATCCAGTAGCAAACCCACTCAAGTATGATAACTGGAAGCCACAACATGCTCAGGTCATCGGGCACTCCAGTAACAACAAAACCTCGAATCCATGGCCAAGCTCAATTGTGCAGTTTAGACCGAGCATGGGAAGATCCTCCAACCTTCCTCATAACATCTGAAAGAAAGGGTACTTCTTCTTCCTCGTCACTCACACCGCCAATGCCAAAACAAATTGTATGCAGAAGGCAATCAACTCCCATCCTCCCTCCCAACGGAGAATCAAAAAATTTCATTACGCTAGTAGGCACCTCTGGCACGTATATTCTGCTCGATGTAAGCTTTATGCACATGAAGAAATAGGAAAGAATGAAATGGTAAACATGGAGGCATTGTCTCCATTACGTGAGTATAAGGATCCCGTGCCATTACTATCCCGTGTAATGGAGATATTGTCTGCATTTGCCATGTAACCAGTCACTACATTTCCTTCTCTAAAGATGTGTAAGATCCTGTACAGCAAATCATAGCACCTCTACTCTCCTCAATTAAGCACTGCTGGCTATACGATCGACATGATTAATCTAACACTGATAAAAGTAGAAAGCAAACATTCAATCAACAATTTTACTGAATAAGAACACCAAACCAATGACAGAATTTGCATATTTAAGCCAGTGAATTGGATGTACACGAGCAAATCCACTGTAAAATAGAACAAATATTGCAAATAAATAGATGAGGGATATCTTCAAGATCACGAAAGCCCATGTCTATGAATAGCATATCAAAAGTAGCATCTAACCATGCAGCTACAATGGAAAATGTCAATTAGCATTGCTTTTGGAGTTGTACCTAGGAATTCAATGCATCTTTATAACATTACATTCTACAATACAAAAATGTGCTACAGGCTACATGTATTAAAGTGCCACCTACAACACTAGTGAAGCGCAGTAAAGATCTTTTAGTTGTGTAGTGATCTCTAAAGTTGTGATTATAAGGTGACACTTACACCATTAGTGAGTGACCTATCAAATGTCTCAAACTTAGCAAGTTCTCCAATGGTGAACGCTAGAGCTCAGTTCAGGAGGGAGATCAGCAGACCATGTAGCCGTATCTACCAAAGGTCCAGTGAGGGCAAGATAGTTTTCACCTGCACTTTTTGGCATCTTTTTCCAATTTACCTAACATTTAGAAATTTGAGTTTAGCGGACATTAGATATAGCAAGAAAATATTTGTAGTAGAAGTACACAATTTATCAATGCAAATGACTGTACAAAATGCTGAGATTTTTTAAGAAAATGACGAACACATAGATTCAGACACTTATGACCTCCGCCTCGGGGAAATAGTCCTGAGGGTTATAGGCAATAGCCTCTTTGGTTTAAAAGAAAATATTTTGTTCAGAAAAAGTGAGACTGGCCCTGTGTTCTGGTGATTTAAGCACTGTTGATCCGATTTCTCTGCATTTCCCTACCAGTGTGGGATGAAGGTTGTTGAATCTGGAAGGCTATGAGTTGGTTGGACTGAACTATGTAACCTAAGGAAGGAGGCAAACCAAACCCGAAAAAGCACCTCCCTCCCGGCTAGCCTTGCAAGAGCGGGTGTGCGGGAGAATAGAACTGAGCTTACTAAGGAAGGAGGCAAACCAAACCCAAAAAGGCAACTCCCTCCCGGCTAGCGAGTGCAAGAACGGGTGTGCGAGAGAATAGAACTGAGCTTCAAGGCTGCAGGAGAGATTCAGACGTTAATAACCTCCTTAGACCCCACACTTTGAGAATGCGAATAAGCCTCCACTTTAAAAGGTTAATCTAGATCTCATAACCCTAAAATTTAGGGGACGCTGGTTGTTGGTAGTCTTCTAGTTCTTTGAAGCAATATCAAGCAAGTAAATAATAGGTAAAGTGAGTGGCATCGCAAAAATGGAATTTTTTTTCCACGAAGCATTTAATTGCCCTGTGCAGCATTGTCATTATACACTTCATCCGAAATCTCCATCAGCTTATGGGACAGTGTTGAAGACAAGTGTTAGGATTTATGTTGTATTGGTAATTCTTTAGACAAAAAGATTATTACAAAAGAATAGAATTGTTATAAAAGTCGATGAGTCTTTTGGAGGGTTGTATAGATAAATAAGGAGTCTTTTGGTTCAAGTATGGAACAAAGAGAAAGAGTCGTCGGATTTACGCTAGCCGTCGCCTAACTGATGTTAGAGCGGAAAAAACAAAATCATTGTCGCCCACATATTGCTCGAGTGACACGCCTCTCAAACGCCTCACGCTCAAGCGACAGTGTTATACGTGAAACTCTAGTTAACGATTTTCAAGAAGTCTATTTATCCTATACTACCTAAATACCTCTTATTATAAATACCCAATACCCATTACTTTTTGGGGGTAGTTGATCATTATTTTACATTCTCATAACATCATTCCAAAAACACATCAAGACATTGAGATCAATCCTTTGATTTTTGAGATCAATCAACCACAAGTTGGGAAAAATATCAAAGTCAAATCATCCAAACACCCACTTCCTAGATATAATAAAGAAGATGTTTTTTCAATAACTTTTAGAGATTGTTGAAGTTTGAGGGAGGTTGGACCAGAAGCACAGCAAGAACAAGGTGTTCTTGGTAATCTACAGGAGATGGACAATTCCAGAAGATTGGCGAATCTAGTGGCTTTTCTAGGCTGGATCATACTGTTTGTATTATCTATAGTGGAAACTATTGGCTTGGTCCCTGAGTTTTTTACCTATTTAAAGGTTTTCTCCATCATTAATTCTTTATGTTGTTTGCATTATTGATTTATATAAGCCGGCAATTTAACATAGGGTAGTAAATTCACGTGAACTAGATCTAGATTAATTAATTATTGTGACTTGTTGCAATATTGATCAACGATAATTTTTAATTCCACATTATTCACCTATTCACTCCCTTCTAAGAGATTTTAGAATCGAACTAATAACTTTAACAAGGACGTGAATATACAAGTGTGTGACCAAAGCATAGAGTATTCCTTTGTTGCATTTTTGTATATTTAGAAGTGCTTTTACTCTTTTAGGCTAAAGTCATCGACTGTTGAATTCAAAGGACTTGCATGAGAAGTAGAGAATAAAAAGCACCATACTTGTCCAGGAAATGCTTTGCATAGAGCCTTGATAGTTGCATTTAGTTCCCAAGTGCCATCCATTGATGAATCTTCATTTTGTGATACTGCATCACTAATTTCAGACAATCCATCTTCGCTAGCACCACAATTCACCATGAAGCGACCATTGGGCATCAATCTGTTATTAAGCTCCAACCATGTAGCAGCCTGTTCAAGAAAGGCAAAGCACGTGAATTGCAAGCAAATCAAGAAATGCTAGCAAGAAATTATGGAACTTGATATCTAGAAGATTAAGTTTTTCAATTCATTAAAAATTTATGAAATACACATAGAGATTTAACTGTTTCCTATTCCTAACAAACTATTTACTTAATTTTCCAATTCTGCATTGTATTTATCGATGAAGAGGTCTAGTTATTTCTAGCTAATGAATCAATGCATAGGAGTCTAGTGTGCTAGAACCAAATGATGATTGTTTAAGCGTTGACATTAGGAAATGCAAGGATTTCCATGTCAACCACGTCAGGATGATTGGCCTTCCACACAAAAGGGGGTGGATACAAGGGCGGAGCTATGAATATAATTTAGTGGGGGTATCACTTAACTATGAATAAAAAATTAATAAGACAATGGTATTAAAAATATTATAATTCCTTTCTGTGATACATGACAATTGTTTTCATGCTATGAAAATGATGTATTGTGACGTCATTATCAATATCGTTAAATATATAATGGTGATTACACATGACAAAATTATCATTCATTCATTGATATTGAACTCAATTGCAAAATCAATTCTTTAAAATGTTTTCTAAGGTAGCAGACTACCAGTAGTAAGCAAAAGAATGAACATTCAAGTCTCTAGCATGTAAACTAATGGGTATATCTTAACTTTTTTGCAAGATCTCTAAGGCTTATTAACCATCCAAGCTCTTTGACAAGGCCCATTAACCTAGACATTTATAAACTAGCAGAAGAGTTGGCTTTAACTTTTCCCTCTTATTTCCCTTTTAATCATTTTTGGGGGAAATAAATGGCATTCCTTATTTTAGATGGACATGTTACCAAAACCGAAAATAAATCAGATCATCTTTAATACCAACTGTGGCTGAGAAATAGCAATCCAATGCTTTGAAATTCTTGAAAAAGTTCAGCTAACAGTGCATCGAGGGTTTCTGAATTCATATTTGGACTATAATACACTCAGCATATTTTGTGGTTCAATGCAACACACAGCGTTTACTACATAAGAATGGGAATCAGATCTGAGAACCTGAAGAGTAGCATTAGTTCCCACCCACCCTCGCACCCCCTCCAAAATCCAGAGTGGCAGTTGCCATAACTGGAGCCTATGTGGCTCTCCCCATGGGTGGATGGTTGATAGGCTTCAATGCTTAAATATGAAATGGGATCCGCTTTTTGAAAACAAATTGGCAGCGTTTTGATTTAGGCTGAGTAATTGCATTGCATAAATGGCTTAAAGGTAAAGATAGGCGTGAATGAATGTGACGCTCAGGTAGGCGTGCAATGGATGCTTCAGTCTCATATCATTAGCTTTGCATTAAATGTTCCATAAG